ATCCGTTCTTCTGTCAGTGAATATTTATATTGCTTCCACCTCTTATGAATAGTGCTGTTGTAAATATGAGTGTATAATATTCTTTAGGCTCCCAAAATAAAATTGCTGGATCATGTAGTAACATATCAGCTATTTTAATCTTTTCATCAGAAGAAAGCCTCATGTTTTATAGGCTCCATGAATTTATTATTACTCATACATAAATTATAATTTATTATTCCTCCAACACAAATTGTAATAAATATAATTGTTAATGTATTTTAACCCTGTTTTAATTACTCAAAGTCAGTAATTAAGATCTTGACAAATGATCTAGTCACTGTTTCCATACTGTATTGAACCATATGAGATAATCACTAATTACCTTAATGTACCAATATAATTCTATTCTAAAACAAAACAGCATAATATGTTCATTGGAGTCTTATTGTGGATAAATGTGATTTTTGTATATGTGCTGCTGAAGCGAGCGCATAATGTGTTTTTTGAAATATTGAAAATAATAAATGGGCCGGGGATGTAGCTCAGCAGCACCATACCTGCCTGGCAAGCTCAAGGTCCTGAGTTCAATTCCCAGTACCAGGGAAAGAAATAATCAATAGAAATATTAAGTGAACATTTGTGAGACTTAATGTCCAATGTTCTTATGTGTTAAGAACCCTTGTTTTAATCCTTGTAACAACTCTTTTAAGTTATTTTTTAAGGTTTTAGTTCTTTTTTTAAATTTGTTTGTTTTTATAAGATACTTGCCATGTAGTTCAGGCTGGTCTTGAGCTCAGTGTATAGCTCAGGCTGGCCTTGAACTTGTGGCAATGCTTCTGCCTCAGCCTCCCAAGTGCTGGGATTACAGGCGTGAAACACCATGACAGCTTAGTTCTGTTTTAGAAAACTAGAAATTTAGGCCTGAGAATGATTAAATAATTTGTCCAAACTTTTCTTTGCCAGAAACAAAATGAGAATTTGAACTTACGTAGTCTGACTTGGTGGATTCTCTCCCTCTCTCTCTCTCTCACTCTCTCTCTATTTTAAAATTAGCTTTTTCAGTTATTTATTCATAAAAAATGCATTCATTTTAATGTAGACTATTTCTATCACCCTGGAACCTAGCAGAGCACTTATTTCCAATTATATGTCATACTGCTTGATCTGTGAGGTAGGTAATATTAGAATCTCAATTTTAGTTGAAGCTTAGAAAGGTTAAGTAACTTGCCCAATGTCACACACTATTAAGTGGTAGAGCCCAAGTAACCTGAGAACTATTTAATTCCAGACTATCTTAGTTTTCTCATTGCTGAGATAAAATACCTGGCACCCAAAATTAAAGTAGGAAAGGTTTATTAAAGCTCAGTTTGTAGAGGTTTTAATTCATAGTTAGCTGGCTCCAAGGCAGGAAGGGTGGCATGGCAGAGGGGCATCATAGAAGAGAAACAGTTCATAGCAAGCAGAAGGCAGTGAAGAAGCAAAACTGCAGCAAGTGACAACAACAGCTCTCTTTCTGTCCCCACTCAACACCCTTAATCCTAGCATTGCAGGATCTCAGCATCACATCTCAGCATCACATCCTTAAACCCAGTATCACACACTCTAGATCCAGCCACCTCCAAAAAGCCCCACCTATGACCTCATGAGGCTTTGGAGAGACATCTAGATACAAACTGTGACACAAACCTATGTGCTAACCACCATGCTATCTTGCCTTCCTCTGTTACTGCTTTTTCAGGGCCCAGTGAGTCCAAGGACTTCAAGTTGGGAGCTAGTGATTGAACTCTTGTTTTTAAAATAAGGAAAAAGATCTTGAGAAGTGAGTTGATCTCTTCAAGCTTCTATTGAAAATTACTGGTGAAGCTTAGACTAGGCTCCACATTTAGTAGTTTCTCAGTCTGGTAAATGTAGAGCTGAGGAGGGTGATGTTAGTATTGTTGATGTTATATTGTTAATGAGTTACCAGATCACAGAACTTCCCTAGAAAGAGCTTCTAATACATTTTATTATGGTAAAGGTATCTAATATCAACAGTCTTTTAAGTAATGTCCCTCAGACTTTAATATGCATATGAATTATGTGTCAATTTTGCTAAAACACATTCTACTTCAATAAGTCTGTAATATCTTAAGAATCTACATTTCTTTTAAGCTGTCAGGTGATTCCAGTAGTACTACCATATTTCCCCCAAAATAAGACCTAATTGGAAAATAACCCCAACATGATTTTTCAGGATGCTCATAATAAAAGCCTTATCCCAAGAATAAGCCCCAGTTAAGATCACTAGCCAGATGGACACATTTAGTATGTCTGTTGCAACACACAATGGACATATTTAATTATCAAATAATAATATTAATATATAATTAAATATAAATAGTATTATTGGCATTGATACTTAGATAGTAATATAAATTATAATTAAGTATTTGTAAATATGTAAGTGGGTGCCTTTGGACAGAGGTAAACAAATGCCTGTGTAAACAGATGAACTCAAGACTTGCCAAATGACCAATTGGAGTGAAGACACAATACAAGAATAGCATACGCACTTGATAACAAATGGATGAGGTTGTGTCTAATATGAATCCTCATAATTCAATACATCATGTCTTGTAATGGACATACTTAATACACTCATGTGAAATATATGTTTTCTGAATTTTGGTGCTTGCAATTTTCCATCACTTTTGTGTGGACCATTCTTAAATGTCATCATTTTTGTTGCCACTCCTGTCTTGTAAGTTTTCAATTAACATTTAATTTAATGGAAACTTTGGGAAGCCTAGCTTGCAAGAGGTTATGACTTGAGTGAAGAATTCATGGGATAAAATCACTGACAGCTGTGTTGCCAATGTACTACAAGCAAGCAACATGGACAAGAAGTACTCATTTAAGGAGAACTCTATTGCTAGACATGAGAGATCGGGAATCATAAATTAAGGCCAGAATTTTGGGTTTGGAGAGTTATTTTGATGTTCCAGAAGAAGATGACATGACTATATGTGAATAAATGTAGTTTTTTTGGTACATAAATAAGTAAGATATTCCTTGAAAATAAGCCTTATTGTATCTTTTGGAGCAAGAATTAATGTAAGATCCTGTCTTATTTGGGGGGAAATATGATAGTATGGAGACACTCCTTGGACAAGCAAGACTTTACAGTTCACAAAACACTTTCACTTTTTTTCCTTATGAGATGTAGATGTTATCCCTGTTTATATTTAAGGAAATTGCCAAAGAAGTTTATGGTCATAAGAAAGATCTAGATGTTTTAGTGTGGGGAAAGTGTACACTATAGTATAATGGAAAGGCCATACACCTGAAGTCAAAATCCAGTTTCTTATCTGGATTTTGTCCTATTGACCTTTGTGACGTTGGGCACATCACTTAATCATTGTTTGTATCCATTTATTTTATGTGAAGTGAAAATAATGATATTTAATTTTTTTTCAATGCTAGGGACCAAAGTTTGTTCAATTTTGAGAAATGTATGCACCTGTGTAACCAAACATCTGTCAAGATAGAGAACTTTGGGCTGGGGGTGTAGTTCAGCCTGGATACATAGCCTGCATGAGGCCCTGTATTCAATCTCTAGCAGCAGGGAAAAATAAAAAGATACAGAGCTTTGCCATCAACCAGGAAAGGTCTTTATAACCCTTTCCTTTAATTCCCATTGCCTCCTTCACTTTCTACAGTTCTGAATGTTTTTTTCCTACCATAGGTAAGATTTGCCTAATTTAGAACTGCGTATAAGTAGAATCATCTGGTATTTACTATTTGGTGTAAAGGTTCTTTTGCTTAGCAGAATGCTTTTGAGATTCACATGTTTTGCTGTGTGATTAGTATTTCACTCTCTGTATATAGCACAGCTTGATAACCCGTTTTCCTGTTGCTTCCCACCTGGCTCTTTTCATGTTGTGGCAATTATAAATAGAGCTGCTATGAACAGCTTTCAAGACTTTTTGTGGATATGTATTTTCATTTCTCATAGGTAAATGTCTAGGATTGGAATACAGTAATTGGGTCATAGCATAGTTACATGTTTAGTTTTATTAGAAACTGCCAAACCTTTTTTCCAAAGTGGTTGTACCATTTTACACCCATAACATTTGATATATATCCTTGTTAACATTTGGTGTCATTTGTTTTAATTTTAGCCATTCTGGTGGATGTACAGTCATATCTCTTTGTGTATACAGTTTATTCTTAACTCTTCAGTCTTCCTCCTTTCTCTTGCCATACATATATGGTGTTCTTGTTAAAGGAGTCTGTTTACATATCCATTTTACCTCAGTTCCCCTTTCATTGATCGTCTCATTCACATGAGAGATAAAAATCTTTTAAAATAATGAGCTTTGGGGTAGTTATTCAGCAATAGATAACTGAAAACAGTTACTGAAGTTAAATTTTGAGCAGTTTGATTTCCTGTTGTGTGAACTTGGGGTATGCAAAATTGCATCATACTTTTAGTCTTAGAAGATTCTGAGATTTTAAAAATAAGAATGTAGTACTTTATGCATAGTCTCTTCCATCTGAAGATTTCAATGAATTTTATAACCATTTTATTTATACCTCTCATGTACTCAGAATACTCAAAAATAGTATTTTATCTAGTGAAAGTAAATTAAGTGCCCTAGGGTTGAAATAATTTAGTTGCAGAGCTGGAAAAAAAATCTTTGACTCATCCTAGATGTAGACTCTTGCTTTTAAATGTGTTCTTTAACTTTTCCAACCAAGCTGCTTTTAGGAGAAAATAGAATGAATAGTCAAAAGACAAAATGAACTCCAACATTATGCATATTAAAATCTTGATTTTTTTCCCCCGCCTGCGCCGAAGGAGAGAGTCGAGCGTGAGTGGGTGGCAGCGCGCGGGGAGGGCTGCGCGGGTTGTCCTCTGCAGCCGCGTCTCCGCCATCCCCTCGCCGTCCTGGGGCGTTGTACGTCTCCTTCCGGGACCGAAGCCGCCCGCAGTAGTGGGCAGCCCCAGCCGCGTCCCCCCATCAGCGCCCAGAGGACATGCTGGAGAGAGAATGAGCCAGAGGGACACGCTGGTGCATCTGTCTGCCGTGGGATGTGGTGGCACAGTGGGAGCTATTCTGACATGTCCACTGGAAGTTGTAAAAACACGGCTGCAGTCGTCTTCTGTGACACTTTATATCTCTGAAGTTCAGCAGAACACCATGGCTGGAGCCAGTGTTAACCGAGTAGTGTCTCCTGGACCCCTCCATTGCCTAAAAGTAATCTTGGAAAAAGAAGGGCCTCGTTCCTTGTTTAGAGAATTAGGCCCCAATATAGTGGGGGTGGCCCCTTCCAGAGCAATATACTTTGCTGCTTACTCCAACTGCAAGGAAAAATTGAATGGTGTATTTGATCCTGATTCTACCCAGGTTCACATGATTTCGGCTACAGTGGCAGGCATTTACTGTACATTTCTCCCGAGAAAAGAGTGAGATCGTGTCGTCTCATGCTCCCCATCCACAGGTCACTTCCTGTAGAAATATGAACTAACTTAAACCTCGTTTTACTGCAGTCACTGCAACCAATCCCATTTGGCTTATAAAGACTCGGTTACAGCTTGATGCAAGGAACCGTGGGGAAAAGCAAATGGGTGCTTTTGAATGTATCTGTAAAGTGTATCAAACAGATGGACTTAAAGGATTTTACAGGGGCATGTCTGCTTCCTATGCTGGCATATCAGAGACTGTTATCCATTTTGTTATTTATGAAAATATAAAGCAAAACCTACTGGAATGTAAGACTGCTTCTATGATAGAAAATGGTGAAGAGTCTGTAAAAGAAGCATCAGATTTTGTGGGAATGATGCTTGCTGCTGCCACCTCAAAAACTTGTGCCACAACTATAGCATATCCACATGAAGTTGTAAGAACAAGACTACGTGAAGAAGGAACAAAATATAGATCCTTTTTTCAGACACCGTCTTTGGTGGTTCAAGAAGAAGGTTACGGATCCCTCTACTGTGGTCTAACAACTCATTTGGTGAGACAGATTCCAAACACAGCCATTATGATGGCCACCTATGAATTAGTGGTCTACCTCCTCAATGGATAGCAGCACAGGCTGCCACACTGCAAGAGGGAAGACCAAAAGATTATAGTGGATCATGGAATATTGGAGTCAGCATGGTGGACAGAAAGAATAGTAGTTTGGGAATATGTACCATAATATGCCCAAGTGGAAGTTTGGTGAAGATAGCTATACCACATTACTTAGTTTTTCAGTAATGTGGAAAAACCTTAGCCACCTCTAAAGGAAATGCCTTTGGAAACACTCCTTTGTCAAAATTGCCATTTCTCTACCGTATCCACCAGATACAGTTGTGTTTTATTGACCTATAACATTGAGAGTATAGTGTTTATTCCAAGAGTATTTTTCAAGTCTTCTAAACAAAGCCATCCTTAAATATGTACTGTACTGTAGATAACATAAATATCTAACTTCTGACTTTTAATTCCTGTAATACTGTAGGATAACAATAATTGGTAGATTCTCAGTATTCCCATTTTGCTGAGATGACTTGGCACAATATTTTAATTATTTGGCACCAGTAATCACTTTTTGACAACCAAGGAGCTGTAGTGTAAATATCTTGTGTATTAAAATGTTTGAGTCTCTTCAGCTAACAGGTGCTTGATGTTTAGCATAATGTAGACTTCAAATTGTTACCATATAAAACTCACATAATACTTTGTAGATTAAAAAATTAACCAGTAAATTATTGATTCTTGACCATTTCAGTGACTTGAATGTGCTTAAGGAACATGAATGAATGCATTTGTCTTTTCAGTAATTTACTAGTTTTGAACATTAATTATCATCTATCATACCTAGGTATCATTTACTTAAATTAGAAAAACTTATTGCTTCTCTTTACTTCACATTATGAATTTGGGGCTGAATTTATTTCTAGGTCAGTATAGATTACACTTATTTGGTAGAGAAAATGGTAATTTTCAGTTTGACCCTTAAAATTTTTTTGAAGGTGATACTAATATCTGGGACAAAATAAATAGTATAGAAGAGGGGCTTTCTGCTGTCTGATTCAGCAGGCAGTGTTTTTAATTGACTTTTGTAAATGAACAAGGTGATTTTAATAAATTTATTCTGACCTAGTTTCCTTGAATGGTATATCATAGATTCAGGTTCATTTGGGTTAAATGTGCTAATAGGATATAGTTTTTAAATTTTGCTGTTGAGTCATCTATACCTTTTAATACTTTAAATGTATCATATGTATGACCCTTATAAAGATGTTTGCTGTAATACTGTTAGACTTTGCCTATGGATATTGCTCTCCCGGTGTATGACACTTCTACAATTAAACTCCAGTGTGTTATTCATGTCAGTATACCTTAACTTCATATTTTGTACAATGGCTTTATCTTAAGACTGACTTTTTGTGAATGCACTTTGTGGCCTTTTTTGGGGGTAAGAGAGTTAGGAGAGAATTTCATGTTAAGACTTTAAAAATATATATTGGTCATGTATTAGGCAGAAACAGTATGTTCATACATTTTTCAGGGTTCTGGTTATGTTTTTTTTTTGAAGATCTTAAAACGTGTTAAGTATTCTGTGTACACTGTAGTGCCACACATTATGGAAAAGCAGCAAGTCATTGCAAGCTTTTTTTGCTGACATCAATGAACATAGTACCCTCTTAAATTACCCCACCTTGATTTCCGTGTAATCAACAAAACTGAATGTTTTTGAGGTGCTCAGTTGGAATTTAAAATATTCCAATCTCTTGGAGACCAAAGGCAAATTTAGTCATTACCTTTGGAATTATTAATATCTTTTATGATAAATTTCAGCTTTGAATTTATTGTGAGAGCATACCAAAAAAAAATCCCCCCCCCCAAAACGAGTTTCTAACTTCAGTCTGTAGAGAAGTCTGTAATGTTTGTCTTTTCAGGTGCCATTTATACTGCCTAATACAGTGCCATTTGCCTTGTGATGATCCATAAGTATTAGTTGTGTTGAATGTAGGACACTCCTCTCCCTAGTCTTACTCATCTCAGTGCAAGTAGAGCTTACATTGACCTTTAGTGCATTGTATTCAGCTTTTTTTTAAGTACAGTGGATCCTCCAGTTACAACCAGGCTGACGTATGAACAACTTGGGTTATCACCAGAATTTTAGTTTTAACTTATGACCAAAGTCTTGAGTTATGACCCAATTGCTGCCGCTTGTGCTTTCAGAGGTCTCAGATACTGATTTAACCCCTAAAGAGTTCTTTTTTCTGTGGGGTTAATTGAGAAATCCTGGGCCAGTGTCTCTCTAAGGACACTGAGATCTGCCTGTATACAGGAGAGAAAATTTGTAGCCTGTATAGAGGAGCCCAAGCCTTCATTGACCAACTTGAGTTACAGTTAGCCCTCAGGAACGAATTGATTTCATAAGTCAAGAGCCCACTGTGTTATGTATGTACTGGAAGGAAAAGAGATTTTAGAGTTTTAGATTTTATTTGTGCGGCAACTGGAAAGGAGCAGTGAAGTCTTTACTGGTTTTTTTCCTCCTGAAAACAATCTGCCATAGTTTACAAATGACAGACAGTTCAAAAAAGAAAACTATGTATAAAGGTTATATATAGTTTGTCTCTTAAATATTTCTTTGAAGATTTAAAAATTGATTGTTTTTAGGAAGAAATACATACTCAAAAGTTATTGGACTTGTTTTTAAAACTGTGGGTTGTATTCATTTGTTTGCTGTCAGATAACTTTAAAAATTTCTGATACAGAGGTAGTCAACACTCCAGATTGGTATGTATTTTTATTACAGAGTTTTCTTAGAAAATTGAACTGAACACACTTAGCTTCAAGCAGTAGATACTGAAAGTACACCCTCATAGAACACCCTCCTAGCTAGAACTCTTCTGCCCATAACTCCTAGAAATGGTTCCACATCCTGAGGGTTTGCCAACCCTGTGACAGTGCTTTTAATTCCAGAGGAAAGAACTACCACTAAACCTCTGGCCAGGATTCCCCTGTGTAACTTTGTAGAACCAACCTTACTAGGTGAGGCCCAGATAGATTTGTAACTCTGAAAAACCATGATAGAGCCTTTTGTCTCCTAAAACCTAATACCCACTGGATATTAGGAAGAGCAAAGTTTGGGTTGTTCAAAATAATGAATGAGGACCGGGGATTTAGCTCAGTGGTGCCACACCTGCCTCACAAGCACAAAGTCCTGAGTTTAATCCCTGGTTCAAAAAAATAATAATGAATGTTTACTCTTTTACCAGAGTATAAACATTTGGCACTCTTAAATATGTTTTTAGTTACAAAGTATTGGTTTGAATTTGAAGGAGTTAAGTGCTAGAAATCAATCTGTCCCTTCCTCTTCTAGAATTCTTTCTGCCTGTCTTTTGTTGTTTACATGCGCATCTACCCAAACTTAGCATTATAGGGACCTCTTTGGGGCTGATAAATAACAGCTTTTTCTCCCATAGTATTGATCATGACTTTAACATTCCTAAGAATATACATATTTCTGAATGATTTAAATTGAAAGAAATTTTAATATATAAAATACAATGTGCTTTCTGTCCGTTCAAATCTCTTCTCCATCAT